GAATACTTTTCCCAGGTTGCAGATCATGTTTGCAATAAGCTTGACATGAGTCACATGACGTAGAAAGAACACAAATGGGAACATAAAATCTCTGCTTCCTAGAAGTCATAAGAAACTCCAGGGTGCAAAACAATCCTCTCACGCAGACTCATGGCTTGAGGGGAGTAAACAGTTTACTTTGAGAGGCTGCCAGCTTTCTGATACCTTAGCATCACAAACAACAATCGCTCTTCACTTTACAGGCAACTTTTACTCCAGGACTGCAGAAGACACTTAACATGCTTAATGTCACACCATGATGGCTGTGAGATTAAACATAATAATAACAACTCAAAGCAAATGTCAAACACTTACTACAGCAGTTGATGGACTGCTTAGCAGAGATAAAATCCTGGCTGAGCAAAAACGTTCTCAACCTCAACGAGAGCAAGACTGAGGTCATCTTTTTTGGACCCCAACCTCCAGCCTCTCCGGTTGATATTCTGGACTCTATCAAAAAAAACATCCTCCTCTCGGTCATGAACCTTGGAGTGACATTCACTAGCACTTTTAAATTCGACAAGCAGGTCAGCACCGTAGTAAAATCCTGCTTTTTTAAAATAAGACTATTGGCCAAAACCAAGTCGTATTTATCTTTTAATGACTTAGAAAGGGTTATTAACGCCTTTGTAACCTCGAGACTGGACTATTGTAACGCTCTGTATGTGGGTATGGACCAGGCCTCAATTAAACGCCTACAGCTAGTCCAAAACGCTGCTGCACGTTTGCTGACTGGCCACAAAAAGCGCGACCACATCACCCCTATTCTGGCCTCATTACACTGGCTTCCAGTTCGGTTCAGAATTGATTTAAAAATCCTTTTATTTGTTTTTAAAGCACTAAATGGGCTGGCTCCGGCCTATATAGCTGAACTCCTCCAGCGCTACACCCCAGCCAGAGCTTTAAGGTCTGCTGACCAGCTGCTGCTGGTAGTGCCCAAGACCAGGCTAAAAACCCGAGGGCACCGAGCCTTCGCAGCAGCTGGCCCTAGGCTCTGGAACACTCTGCCCCTCCATGTGAGGTCGGCCCAGACCCTAGGGGTTTTCAAATCTAAACTAAAAACACACTTCTTCTCTCTGGCTTTCTAGTTAGAGCGGAGCACGACTCCTGACTTTTCCGTGTGTTCTATTTTTATTTTGTTTTTAAGATATATCTGTTGTAATTTATTGTCGTTTATTGTGATTGTAGTAATGTGTTTTTATTACATGTACAGCACTTTGGCTCGACCAAAAATCGCTTTTAAATGTGCTATATAAATAAAACCTGATTTGATTTGATAATGCCGGTAATGAAAGTCATTAACTGAGCTGATTCATTATCCATTGAGAGTCATTGATTCTGCAGACAGTTCTTTGCCAAAAGGCCCATCTTAAAGGCACAATGAGTACAACCTGTTAACACTAGATTACTTTTTATAGGAGGTAGACGCCCATAAACGTCCCAAACAAAGCAAAATAAGACAATCCAGGCTAAAGGGTGAAGATACAGGTAACGCACAAACTCCTAGTAGATTCCCACACCTTCTTAAAACATCAAAAGTAATGTTTTTCAAGGACTTTCCAGACCAAGATCAATCAAATTCAAGGATCCAACGGTATCGACTCAATCAAAGTTAATTATTGTTGCTCTGTCTTGAGACGCATTTGAAGTAAATATGCAAGCTGAAAGCGAAATGGAGCGTAATACAATATAATATATATAAATTAATATACAATATAATTTGACCTTAGGTAAAATATTTGTATACATTAATGTAATACATGACTTTAGGCACTTTTAACGACCCATGTTTCTTTCTGTGAAACAAAGCCCATAATGACCACGTCAATTTTTTAAAACTACATTTTTTTTACCCTTAAATTGACCAATTTTCAAGAATTGTAAGCACCCATTGGAACCATGTGTATCATAAGTGATGAATGAGAGAAATACGATTTGTTTGTGAGTCTATTGCCTGTTAGAGTCATTGTTTTATTTAAGGAAAATCCTATGTCTGTGCCTCAAGAAGGTGCTAATATTAAAAATGATTACAGTATCATATCAAGTTTGTTCTTAAATACTGAAACAGGTTGCAGTATTTTCAATCTTTCTCCATTAATTTTCAACTTTATGCAGCAAAATCCCTTAAATGCTAATCTTTGCATATCAACTTCTGAGGAGCGCGGTTTTTATCATTTAAGTTTTCCTTGACTAACCCAGTTCACAAGACTGTGAAAACAAACAGGCGGACAAACACAAATAATGACAACTTCCTAGGAACTGATAGCGATGGGTAAAAATAAACACATCCAAGTGGAAAGAGGCCTTCAGAGTGATGTGAAACCATCTGATGAAAACCTACCTGTGAAGGTGTGAGACACATGAAGAAAGAAGAGGTGAAGGAACTACAGGAGACTGGAGAAAATGGAGATGAAGATGGAGAGGCGTGAGCTGAAAATGAAATGAGTACAAGGTGTAAAGGTCAACAGATGAGAATGAGGATAACATGATAGTAAGCGACGTGAAGCGTGAAGGAGTGTACACAAGGCCGGACCGAGCATCTGCTGGGTGTCTCGCTGTGATCAACACAAATGGACGTCACCGTGTTGATCTAACAATGTTTATTAGACCAGAAGGCACCAGGAATCAACGCCCTCCCTCTGCTCTCTACACCTCAACGATGAGCGATGGGACCGTTCATACAAAATGCATGTGAGCAGTGAATTATTCATCCTGCTTTTTATTTCCCTCTCAAACAGGGGAGTTTAAAAAACCATGAGCTGGTTCAGGTGAGGGGTCCATCAAAACGTTTGTCCCAGTCACTGCAAATCTCACTCATGCGTAGCTTGAACTTCTTTAAAACATGGGGTTGCAGGAAATCAATCTTGCTGAACAGAATGTACCGTCTCCTTAACCTACCTATCAACAAGTAAACTGCTTTTACTTTGGTATGTATTGCCTCTTTTAACCCTAACCCTAAACCCTTGTGCTTCTATCCAATAATTCGCTCTAGAAAAATCGCATATACATGTCAATAAAAAGCCAAAGGATGATATGAATGAATGAATGATGTCAACACATGTCCTACTTTATAAACAGAGGATTTAACTCACTAGAGTAACTCTTCTTATTAGATCTTAATTTTTAAGAGTTTGTAATGTAAGGTGTCAATGGATCGTAACTGCATGAAACACAGACCTTACAAATGTAACTTTTACACGTGCATTGCAAACTTGAAAAATGTTTTAACATCGCCAGGAGGAGCTGTAGGTCCCAGCGCCAATTTGAGTCTGTTTCCAAACCTCAAACAGACTCTACACTAACAGCTCCCGAAAACAAAGCCTCTGTAATAATGTCTGGCACACACTTCTAAGTGGTTGCATCGCCTCCTTAAAACATAACATTCAATGTTTTTCAAGGACTTTTGAGACCAAGATCCCTCAAATTCAAGAATCCAACAGCATTGACTCAATCAAGTCAATGTGCAATGTGTGATAGAGCATGTGTGAATAGATCGGCTTGTTGTCAAGACGATTCACTTTGAGAGAGTTGGCGTGTTAACAAAGTTTCTATCGTGTTGCTAGGGCAAAACAGTCCAAGGGAAAAAAAACAACAACTTTTTCTCGTCTAATTTGAAAGCCAACAAGAATCACAAACTTTCTGTCGTTAAGGACAGGCAACAAGACCATCAGACAAGTTTAAGCCACAAACGTTATTGTTTATGACCAAATATATCCAGCAACAACTGCATGACTAGAGTAAAGTCTGCATTCTGCACGCTCTACCAATGGCGGCAGCCCTCACCTAAATCTCTAAGTATTTCCTGTGAGCAAAAAACACTACTGACAATTCCCAGCTGTGGGTTTGGAAATTACGTTCAATGTCCAGTTTGAACAGAAACATCAATTATTAACATGGTTGACTGAATTTAGTAGCTTCTAGTTGTTGCCGAAGTGAACAGATTAGTGATTTTGCAGGGAGGTAATTGAAGGAACAAAAGTAGGTGAAGTGACATCACAGATTCCCAATGTCTTGCTATAGCAGTAAGATTGCTAGGTTTATAAATCATCCTCATGTTTGCACAGAGACTTATGGAAAGCTATGACAACTTTCAACCTTGTATTTTTGATTTATGCAGGATATAGATACATTAATATAGAGTGTGAGCCACAACAAACATTAGCCTCATCCTTGAGTTGATACTATACACCCTTCACATCCCTGCATCTTAATATGTACTCCAAACACAACTCAAGAAGCTATTATCAACATTACATAAGAACAAACTCATAAGTATAATCAATGATGAGCATGCAGTGGATCAGCTTGTAGTCCCTTTGTGATAGTTATCATGGGGAGGCGTGTGGTGCAGTGGGTTGTGCGTTGGTGTTCGGATCAGGGGGTCACAGGTTCAAACCCCACTGCAGTCAGCATGTCTTTGTGTTCCTGAGACATTTCACCCCATATTGCTCCTGTGGGGATTGCCCACAGTATTGAGTATGTAAGTCGCTTTGGATAAAAGCATCTAACAAGTAACATGTATCATGTAATGTTATCAATAATCCAAAGGAAATAAAACCCTTACTATCTGAATGGCTCGATCAGTCAAGAAGTAAGAGAGAACATGTGTTATTGTATATCTCGGAAATTAATCTAAAGGAGCACTTAAACATCAGGTTCACTGTGCACACAATTACAAATATAGTATCAATAACTAGTGAAGTCCTCCTTGACACAACAGTTTCTATTCTATGACACCATAGCAGAAAATGCAAGTAATTGCAAAGCCTTTATTTGGCATTGCCACCACTTTGACTGTCAGGCGTTTGCTCAACCCAACAGTAAGGTCAAATGAATTATGAATTCAAGTAAAAGATGAAGGAAGATCTGGGGCAGATATACGAGGCATTATCAATATAAATGCAATTTAGAAAGGAAGAAGATGGAAACCGGAAGATTTCAAAGACCTATTTCATACACACCTTGTTCCGAAGCCCCCCCTGGTCCCTGTGGGGGAGTCGAGGCTTTCTCCTGGCTTGGCTGGCCTGTCGCGATTCATTTGCTGCAGGATGGAGCTCAGCTCGGTGATGACGGTGTTCTTGGAGTCTGGTGTTGATGGGGGACTGCGCAGCTCTGGCGGCTGATCGCCCCACAGCTTGGATATCCTTTGAGTAGGAGTCCTAGGAGGTTCAGAGGATGAAGGAGGAGGGGGAGGATCCTGAGGCGGGGATCCATAGGACTCCGGGGGCTCTTCAATGAGAGCGTCATGATAAAGCGATGTTCTGTTGATGACGGACTTGCCCTTGGGTTTGGGGGGCACAGGGGGCCGGTCCACCAGGAAGGCGTGTCCGTCTGCGGTGGCGTAGAGGCTCTCCAGAGCACTGTCGCAGAAACCCCCCTCTGACGACAGGGTGGAGATGCTGGAAACGGTGCTGGTTGTCTCCATGTGCTGAGGATCCCCGCTACTGCGGCTGTCTACCTCCTCGATGCCCGAGTCACCCACCCCTGACTCCAAATCCGGTGGAGGGGGAGGATATGAGGGTGGCATGTTGTTTGCAACCCGTTTGTGTTGCTCAGTGACAGGTGGCGGGGCGTGAGGGTGGTACGGTGGTAGAATAGGACCCCCATTTCGTCTCTGTTGCTGAATCATCTCTGCAATGGCACTCGCCTGATCATCAGGAATGTCGATACTGTTGGCAAACTCCAGCGGTGGTGGGAGGGGATCCGAGAATTCAAATTCCTCATCGATGTCAACTGATGCGAGAGGGGGTGGTGGGATGCGGAAGGGCAGTTTTACTGGTTCGTCAATGGACTCATTCAAGGGCATGCTCCTCCTCCTTAATGAGGTTGGTTGGGGATTGGGGGACAGTGACGAAGCGTTGTGAGGATCCGGTTGGTTGGGGTCCTTCAGCTCCGATGGCCTGTTGCTGTCCTGCCCCTCCACCTCTTGGTTGTTTCCCTTGTTGCTTGCTTCGTTGCTGGTGTGGACCATCAACAGTCCAGTTAACTGCTGTGATAAATCCGACACATCCGCTGGCGCACTTTTCCTCTCCTCAACTGCCTGATGCTTTCGTTCTTCCCGTGCCCCATCAGACTCATACTTCTGCTCCGTCATTTGTCTCCGCAGACCGCCTCGACTCGGCCGCCCCATGGTTGCTGATGAGATTGCGGCAAAACTTGTCTCGATCCCCGAGCGTAGTTTGGTGTCAATAAACAGCGGTTGATTGAGGTCTGGTTTGTGGCTTGGCTGACTTGGGAGGGACTGGGCTTCGTGTTTGGGCGTTTGCTGAACCTGAGGAGGATTTGTTGGCTGATTCTGAGGATGGTTCTGTTGCTCCTTCATCGCCCGGTCACGAGCTGCCAGGGCCAAAGCAAGAGGGGAATTAGGATCCAGGGGTTTGCCTGTAACCGGATGGAGGTAAGTCCCGTTTGACCTGTAGTGGCTCTTAGGAGGTGTGGATGGGAGACTAACGGGACTGTCCAGGTTGGGACACTGGCCTGTTCTGGTGTTTAGAGGCTCCCGAACCACTGTGGGCTCAGGAGTGTTGAAATCTGTCATGTTGCCACTACCTCCCCCGACAGGACGACCAAGCTGTGCAGGGGGACCCAATATCCTTCGAAGCCTCTCATCGCTAAACATGCCTTCATCGATGGACTTAGAATGGCGAAGACGAGGGGTCGGTGTAGGACTACCGAAGTCATCATCCCCAATATCTATTGACTGGAAGGCGATTGAGTGCTTTTTTGCCTCTAGCCTCTTCTCCCGGTCCCTTACTGCCCCAGCAATAGCTGCTGCAAAGGGGTTGCCTAAAGACGGGTCTTCGGGACGCAAACCACCAACAGGCATGAGAGGAGGGTGTTCGGGGGTGGTGGGCTCGATCTCCATACTGCTACCCTGGCTGCTCTTGCCACTGCTGCTGGTGGAGGGCTCCTTGATGATGATGGTGGGGATGGGAATGGAGGAGCAAGTTCGTTCTACAGGCGTAGTAGGCATGGAAACCGCGCCCGATAGGTTTGATGACATGTGACTCTTTTTCTCCGGACTATCCTCAACGTTGTGCTGTTTTACAAGCATGCCCTTCCTTCGAGCTGGTTTGGCTGGCACGTACAGGTTCCTATTGCCCACCTCGGAGTAAGGGTTCTCCGGTACTGGAGCGCGCCCTCGAATGCGCGAGTCAAACTGCTCAGAGCTCTGCCGGTAATAGCCGCGCCGTAACGTACCGGCGTCGGTTGTTCGGCTAATGGTCTTCACCGCATTGGCTGAGTTCTGGGTGAAGCTGGGTCGTGTGGTGCCGTAGCTCTTGGGTGTTGGACCAGAGTTGAAGTCAGGTGGAGAAGGGGGTGAAATGGCTGGGGGAGGAGGGATGTCCTCTGAGGTGTCGGGCATGGAGAGGCTGCGGGCAAACTTGAGTAAGGGAGGCGTGAGGAATCCATGTTTGTCGTCCTCCGATGTACCTTGGAGAAATAGAGCAGAAGGAAAAATGATGTGAGGACCTGGGGGTGACATCCCTATGTTTTATTTCCAGCATGGCCTCTGTTTGACACAGTCAATGTCTCATTTATTGATGGCAGCTCTTTCTTAATCTTTTCCTGAGTTTTATGAGACAAGATAAATAAAGAGTAGCTGAATATAAAATGTTTTCTGCAGCAAGCAGGAATTTACTGGTGAGTTACTTTTGGCATTTACCCAAAACCACCAAGTGAGATTTAGAGAAAACGTTATATGACAAAAATAAACATTTATATTGAAGGCCAATTTGATTTCAAATCTATACAGAAGAGCAGATGTGGATTACTTAAAGGGGACCTATCATGCAAAATGCACTTTTGTACGTCTTTTATACATGAATATGTGTCCCCGGTGTTCCAGGGAACTCACCAAGTGTCAGAAAACACAACCCTCTCTATTTTCCTCCATACCCAAATCTCTAAAAAAGGGGCTGCAACGGATCTGATAAAAACTGATCCAGATTTGAACACTGTCCTGACGTCAGGACGGTGGCGCTACGGCTATTGGGCCAACTCCACCAATCAGGACGAGACAACCACGGACATTGCCGTTCGAAAGCGCTGGAGACGCTGTAGTACATATGCCAGGCCTGTAGATGGTGCTGTTCTGCCCTTAGGTGTCGAATAATCGATTAATATTCGCCAGGGCTGTCCAATTTTCGATTTTGATCATGGTCAGTTTCTGGCATCCCTAGTCACCACACCACTCTATAAGTGACACGATTTAGTTGACACACCGGTGCCTTCAAACAAGAACATGCTAAAAGTGCTTTCAGGGCAATTTCAACACAAAAATATCCATATTTTTACAATAATGATGGCATTGCAATTCAAAAGCGCTGTGAGTAACATTAGGCTGCACGGCGTCCCTTTGGTTCAGCAGTGAGAATGAGGTTTCAGCATATGTTTAATGACCTCGAATATTATCTCCTGAAAGCACACTTTGCTGACTGGATCCTTCTAATTTATCTATAATTAACTTGCATATTGCTTGAGCACACAGAGCGAGCCCTCTGAGCATTAATAGAATATTAGGACATGCTAAAAGCGCTGGACATGAGCTTCACAACGCTAACACTCACACTCCTTCACACACACATTTACTGTAAAAACATCATACCTATGGACTTCTGCTTTTTCAAAGTGCTCTTCTCAGGTAGACCCAGGAAAGCCCCCGGCACAGTGGGTGGCACCACTGCTACTCCCTGGCGGTCATGATATAATGACTGCAAACAAGAATATTGTTAATGATATACCAATAAATACACATTCTTCATTATATATCTGCTGGGTGTGGACACAAACACAAGTTTCAGATATATTTGTTAGTAAAAACTTACTGTAGCTGTAGAACAAACTGAAGTCAAATAGATTCACAAACATTTATTTTCCCAAGAAGGACTTTGTTTGACCTTCGTTGTCCCTGTTTCATGCTGATCGTAAAAAGACAGCCTTCACACAACATTGATAATCATTTCTGATCAGTAGTGTTATTTAAATGTTCGTGTTACGTCAAAATGTTTTCAACAAAGGCGTTTCCATTATTCTTTTAGCACCAAATCCTTTTCAGACGAAGGCAAAACAACCTTATTTAGCTGCAAATATTTAGGACGTTTTTACGAATGTTGGCGTTCCCATTCGTTTTTTCAAATACAATGCTTTAAAATGCCAATACAAAACTAAGTTATTTATTTAAAGTATTTTTTGATGTCACCTGCGCTTTGATCACCTACATTGATATCAGCTGCTGTCACCAAACAGCGACTGGATGGCCGTGGTTTGATGGTGGCGATCTTCATATCGACAGGCGACGTCTTCTGGGCGTGGGTCATCTCTTCAACTTTGTCTGCAAGATACAAAGTGAGCCGTAATTAATGAGCAACAAAAAAACAAAAGACAAGGGCAGGATTGAACTTGTAAAGCCAAACGCAAGCTTGTCATTCACAGTGACCCGTCCCTGCAGATGAGACTGAAAAAAAAAAAAGGGCAGGAGGACTTTGATGAAATGTCTCGGGTGTGTCAAGCCGTGCAAGCTCTTTCCAAACAGCCGACTCAGCAGCATCATCCAACTCTCAGGGTCGTTCCCTCATTAAATGTGAAAATGAAAATGAGCTCTGTCAAGTTTGCCTTTATCTTTCCCAGTTGTATTTCTTTATATTTCGCGCCTGCAACGTGGGAAAACAGCAAATTTGGCAGCAGTGAACTTCCCTCTGGTGTGATGATGCGGTCAAATATAGAAGAGTACGGTAGCCGACAGGTGCAAACACATTATGACGGCCAACATACATCCGTTAGGAGAAACGTGCTGCAGTATCAAAAACTGATGGAATTATTCAAACACAAATGTGCCAAAACACATGCAAATACAAAAATATCATCATCAACCTGAAGAAACATGCGCAGCGTTTACTAAAAGCTCTGCACACAAACACTACAAATACAGAACGCTGCTCAATTGGCGCATGTGTTGTCAAGTTGTTGAAGATGTTTCTTTGTTTGCATGTGTTTTTGCACATTTGTGTGTTTTTATTTGCATCGTTTCTGAAACTGCAGCATGTTTCTCCTATTAGAAGTGTTTTGGTGGCCGTTGCAGCACGTTTGCACTTGTCGCCCACCGTAGGTAGAGTCCACCCAAAAGGTTTTAGCTCAGAGAAGCTACATGCTAGCCCTGCTAGCCTCTTTCTGTGCGACCTCATTGGTTAGCTGTGTCTAGGATGTGGAAAAGCTTCCATGCATTAGTGGGGGGGAGATTACTTAGAGTGACTTGGAAAACAATCCTCTTCTTCTGCGTATCTACTCACAGAGGAGAGGAGTGGGGAGGAAAGGAAAGGAAAGGGGGAGGAAAGGAGCGTCAATGACCTTAAAGACAGTTACGCCAAAACACAGAAACACACACACACATAACAGAACAAAAAAATGCACATTTCCTCGCTCTCCCAATTGGATCGCTGCTACACTGTTGCCCTGGAAACCTATCTGTGAGTGAGACATTTCCTGGAATAAACCTCCTCCACACACACACACACACACACACACACACACACACACACACACACACACACACACACACACACACACACACACACACACACACACACACACACACACACACACACACACACACATTAAGTGTTTGGAATTCTCGTTAGGGGTCTGTTGGTATGATTCGTTGTGATTAAAGCTTGATATTCTTCCAAAAATTAACCAATGTGTTGCTGCGAACAATTCATTTTTTTTTTTAAAGTGTGTCAAAAAAATTATCTGTGATTGTGAAGGAGGAGAGGAGATTAAACATATTTGTACTCAACATAAAACAACAATAACCCATGCAACAACAACATTTATAACACAATGAAGACATCAGTAGTGACACATTATACATCATGCAAACGACATTGGGATTGAAAGTCAGACACATCAAATTCTTATCAACATATTTTTAATAATGAATTAGAACAGTTGATAAAAGTGAAGGGAGGAAGGCGTGTGACATAAATCAATAATTAGAAATATTGGAAGATATCGTAAACATGCCTACAGACACTTACCACCTTTCTTTTTCCTTAGAGTGGCTTAGAGGGCGACAGAAACATATTTCTAAATCTTAAAAGCAGCAAAACAGATTCCTCCCTTTTCACAAAATGAACAACGATGTACCAGCTTTGTTTTGAGACGCCCAAATCTTCAGGTGTATATCAGTATGTAGTGTCTCTACTTTAAAGAGTCCTCTCCTGCTGATGTTTCAGGTGTTATATCAGTATGTAGTGTCTCTACTTTAAAGAGTCCTCTCCTGCTGATGTCAGGTGTATATCAGTATGTAGTGTCTCTACTTTAAAGAGTCCTCTCCTGCTGATGTTCAGGTGTAATATCAGTATGTAGTGTCTCTACTTTTAAAGAGTCCTCTCCTGCTGATGTTCAGGTGTATATCAGTATGTAGTGTCTCTACTTTAAAGAGTCCTCTCCTGCTGATGTTCAGGTGTATATCAGTATGTAGTGTCTCTACTTTAAAGAGTCCTCTCCTGCTGATGTTCAGGTGTATATCAGTATGTAGTGTCTCTACTTTAAAGAGTCCTCTCCTGCTGATGTTCAGGTGTATATCAGTATGTAGTGTCCTCTACTTTAAAGAGTCCTCTCCTGCTGATGTTCAGGTGTATATCAGTATGTAGTGTCTCTACTTAAAGAGTCCTCTCCTGCTGATGTTCAGGTGTATATCAGTATGTAGTGTCTCTACTTTAAAGAGTCCTCTCCTGCTGATGTTCAGGTGTATATCAGTATGTAGTGTCTCTACTTTAAAGAGTCCTCTCCTGCTGATGTTCAGGTGTATATCAGTATGTAGTGTCTCTACTTTAAAGAGTCCTCTCCTGCTGATGTTCAGGTGTATATCAGTATGTAGTGTCTCTACTTTAAAGAGTCCTCTCCTGCTGATGTTCAGGTGTATATCAGTATGTAGTGTCTCTACTTTAAAGGTCCTCTCCTGCTGATGTTCAGGTGTATATCAGTATGTAGTGTCTCTACTTTAAAAGAGTCCTCTCCTGCTGATGTTCAGGTGTATATCAGTATGTAGTGTCTCTACTTTAAAGAGTCCTCCCTGCTGATGTTCAGGTGTATATCAGTATGTATTGTCTCTACTTTAAGAGTCCTCTCCTGCTGATGTTCAGGTGTATATCAGTATGTAGTGTCTCTACTTTAAGAGTCCTCTCCTGCTGATGTTCAGGTGTATATCAGTAATGTAGTGTCTCTACTTGTAAGAGTCCTCTCCTGCTGATGTTCAGGTGTATATCAGTATGTAGTGTCTCTACTTTAAAGAGTCCTCTCCTGCTGATGTGTCAGTGTTATCAGTATGTAGTGTCTCTACTTTAAAGAGTCCTCTCCTGCTGATGTTCAGGTGTATATCAGTATGTAGTGCCTCTACTCTGCAGCACCTCTTTTACCCTCTGTCTGAAACCAGAGCCCAGTCTGCTCTGATTGGTTAGCTGGCTAGCTCTGTTGTGATTAGTCAACCGCTTAGAGATGTCCCGCCCCTTAGCCTATCACGTATATGTTGAAGCGATAGCCAATAGAAGCACCAGTGTTAAATTGTGATGTCAGAGAGAAACTCCAGGAAGGGATTTTACCCTTTGCAGACCATTTACATGCACACAAACCTAAATAACAAACTATAGGAAAGGGGAAACCCCAAAAAGTATTCAGTCAGTGTATTTTCTATCTGTCTAAATGCACTTGAATGACATGCAGATGTGTCAAATAAGCAGCTTTAGAGAAACATGCTGACCAGACGTGTTTCTCTGTCAATTTCCTGCTCTCTCATGTCATTCATTCACCTTTCATCTCCCTTCCCACACCTTTGAAACACCTGGAATTACTAATGATCGTATACTATCGACATATTTAAACTGTCTTTTTTAACTAACAGCAGTCCAAAACTGTAAAAATGGTTAACTCCAAATAAGAAAGATTATTATTGTCGCAGGATGGTCAGAGTGGCAGTATGAGTCCAACAGCTGAATGGGCAAATGATCACTAAAGATATTCAAAATGAATTGTTCTCCTTTGACATTTGTTATTCTTACAACTTTTGTCCTCGGGTCAAATTCGACACTTCCCCAAAAGTCTTTTTTGTATATTTTTTGCATATTTTCTTGTATACTACGCTCTTCCACCAGAAAACAAGTATGATCACTTTCATTATGTTTTGGCTTTTATTCAAATTCATAGCATCTGTGGTCTTCTGGGGTCAATTTTGTCAAATCATTCACCATTTGTTCCTTTTTGAACTCAGAAAGTAGGTTGGATTTTGTGTAAACTAGGTTTATTGACCATACATTTCAGAAAGAAGAGCAAAACTTGTGGTAATACGTAAGAATAAAGTTGCCTTAAAAGGTGTAACATAGATTTGGGTGATTATTTATTATTTTATTATTTATACTATATTATTTTTCAAACCAGGAAGACAAAAGTTGATAGGAAGACACTAGAGTTAACAACTTCCTCTGGTAAACCCTGGTTCCCTTATTTCTATCTCACGTCGTCTTCCCTCCTTTCCTTCCTTCCCTCCTTTCCTTCCTTCTTTCCTTCCCCTCTCTGTACAGATGTGGCCTCCTGTCCTTTTTTCTCATGTGTCTCAGAATCGACTGACCCGTCTGTCAGAAGCTATTAAGATGACACACCACTTTAAAAGCAACACACAGAGGATCCTGTGAAGTGGGACTCACCTCACACACACGCACGCACGCACGCACGCACGCGCGTGACGCACGCACGCACGCACGCACGCACGCACGCACACACACACACACACACACACACACACACACACACACACACACACACACACACACACACACACACACACACATACACACACACACACATACACACGCCTAAACAAATAATTCCTCCCTGAAGCTGCAGTGACACCATATACTGTAGATTTTGGGGTCTTACAACTAACAAATATTATTTTCATTATCTAATAATCTGAAGGTTATTTTCTAGATTATATTTGTTGGGTGTACACAATGTCAGAAAATCGTTAAAAAAGACCATTGCAATTTAAGTCCAGTTAAAGAAGCCCTATTCTGCTTTTTGGGGTTTTCCCTTTCCTGTAGTGTTACATAGTTTTAGTGCATGTGAATGGTCTGCAAAGGCTGAAATTCAAAAGTTCCAAAACACAGTGACATCACTATGGAATACTAGCTAGCGCTCCAACACATTGTATAATAGGCTAAGGGGCGGGACATCTCTAAGCAGTTGACCAATCACAACAGAGCCGGCCAGCTAACCAATCAGAGTAGACTGGGCTCTGGTTTCAGACAGAGGGTGAAAAGAGGTGCTGCAGCACAGGCAGTATGAGAAAAATAAAGAGCTGTTTGAACATTAACGCATGGAGACATGTCACAGGAGAAACACTACATACTGATATACACCTGAACATCAGCAGGAGAGGACTCTTTAAAGTAGAGACACTACATACTGATATACACCTGAACATCAGCAGGAGAGGACTCTTTAAAGTAGAGACACTACATACTGATATACACCTGAACATCAGCAGGAGAGGACTCTTTAAAGTAGAGACACTACATACTGATATACACCTGAACATCAGCAGGAGAGGACTCTTTAAAGTAGAGACACTACACACTGATATACACCTGAATATCAGCAGGAGAGGACTCTTTAAAGTAGAGACACTACATACTGATATACACCTGAACATCAGCAGGAGAGGACTCTTTAAAGTAGAGACATTACATACTGATATACACCTGAACATCAGCAGGAGAGGACTCTTTAAAGTAGAGACACTACACACTGATATACACCTGAATATCAGCAGGAGAGGACTCTTTAAAGTAGAGACACTACATACTGATATACACCTGAACATCAGCAGGAGAGGACTCTTTAAAGTAGAGACACTACATACTGATATACACCTGAACATCAGCAGGAGAGGACTCTTTAAAGTAGAGACACTACATACTGATATACACCTGAACATCATCAGGAGAGGACTCTTTAAAGTAGAGACACTACATACTGATATACCACCTGAACATCAGCAGGAGAGGACTCTTTAAAGTAGAGACACTACATACTGATATACACCTGAACATCAGCAGGAGAGGACTCTTTAAAGTAGAGACACTACATACTGATATACACCTGAACATCAGCAGGAGAGGACTCTTTAAAGTAAAGAAAGCAGCGAATCGACAAATCGTTGCAGCTCTACTTTGAAAGCATGATGGCAGAAGTGCAGGAGATGAGCCACGAGGAATATCAGTTAACTTCTTCTTTAATAAGAGGCAAACCAAAGCAAAAAGTAATCAAATGATAGAAAGCTAAATTGCATTAGCCTGAACAAAAGCTTAATTCAGCGGCTGGAGGATGCAGTTAAGGGAAATGGATTAAATAAGGTTATGCAGAATTAACTGCTTACCTTTATCCACTGAGGGGAGATTAGCCAATCAGAAGAGAGGAGCACACACACACACAGAGGCTGTTAGACACAGATTCAGGACAGTGTGAGTAAACATGTAAATAACAACAGGAAGTTCTTACCTAGTTCCTCGAGTTCAGAGGTCATCGACTTGGAGCGCATCGACAGCGCTGTGGTGGGGGCTCTTTTCGGAGGGGGGGGGCGCTGATGGAGAAAATGCCATAAAATAAATACATGTACATTTGTTTAATAAAGACATCAAGTGGCGCCACATCTTCTCATCGACCGAGTTCAGGAGGGAGGGATTATTAATTGCTGTTTTAATGAATAAAAATGTGATTATTTATAAATAATATCCTACTTTTAAATGTTATTCGCGCCTTCATAGTGTTTATTTGACAGATAATCTACAGATTTGTATTTAGTCAACATATATATATTTATTTCTCTTTTGATATTTATTTCTCTTTTGATTATTTTCTACTCTTTATTTTCATATTATTTGCTTCTGTGACGAAAACATGTCCCAATTTTGGATCAATAAAGTATATCTTATCTTAAAGGTCACCTATCATGCTATGTTTAGGCAATAGCACAGGTCTCAGATATATAAAAATATATAAAAAACATGTGAAGTGTTTTGCTCAAAATACCAAACAGATCACCCATTCTAGCCATGCCTCATATCCCTCTATTTCACTTCCTGTTTCAAAAGTGCTGATTTTGGGTATAAAGCTTACATTTCTTTTTAAATTGATTAAAAAAAAGGAGGGGTCTGAGCTCCTGCGGGACCCGGCAGCTACCGTCTAAACTAAATACTGCCGTGATGAAACGCCATATCATGGATTATCAAGGATTATTTCTGAAACAGTATGGAGCTCAAAGGCTTTCTCTCTTGCCGGTTATACCACAAGGTGAGTTCCTTTTTATTTCCTGCTTCTTCACACACATGCTCTCTCCAGTACAGGTTAGCTCTGAGTGTTAGCGATGCTAATGTAAACGCCGACCATATTACGTCCAAAATAGTCGGGCATTGTTTCTGATAGCAACTTTCTGATAGTGCCGTGGGTCCACATTTCAGATATTATGTCATATCGGACGCAAATCTGGATCAGCTCCGTTGTAGCCCCGTTTTTAGAGATTTGGGCACGGAGGAAAAAAGAGAGGGTTTTATTTTCTGACGCTGCATGAGTTCCCCGACACACCGGGGACACATGTTAATGTATAAAAGACATCAAAAAGTGCATTTTGCATGATAGGTCCCCTTTAATGCACATCACAATTCCTTTAAAACCTTTTTACTAAATTTGATGGTGTCCTTGGGTGTCGTGAAAGGCGCTGTTAAATAAAATGTATTATGATTATTTAACAATAATGGCAAGTAAAGGATGAAGGTTAGGTACATTTTGAGTTATTAAAGGGATCCTTTTATGCAATTTACACTTTATTCTTTTCTAAAATTATTTACAATCGGCACCAGCTACATCTTACATTTTATACAGTCACTTTTTCTTTTTAAATATACTGCTACTTTTTACTACCATGGTGCACCTATCTATTTCATTCTCTACGTTTTATATCATTATTAATGTGTGCATACTTAGTTAATAGTTCAAATGTAAGTATTTTCTCTTTACTTTATCTGCACTATACTTCTGCTGTTGTAATAATTTATATTTACGGTACATTTGTCAATTGCGGGACATTAAAGGATTTCTGATTCTGGTTTATTTCTGATAATACACAGATTATTTCTTTGTGGTAACAATGCTTCTTGGCAATACATCTTATACCGTTGGAAAGCCTGTTTCCTTACCTTTCCAATGGTTCCACGTTTGTGAGGAACAAGCATTTGTGGGATGAGCAGCAGAGCTGAGTATGAGGGTTGCGCCCATGAAAAGATGTGACAAATTCTCCTCTGCCCACGCCAACATTATATCCGAAAAGCATTGTTACAACATAGAAATCATCTACTAAACACACATTTCCTTACTTTTTGTGTTAAGTTTATATCGAGCCATAATCACACAGCTGACTCCAACACCCCGCAGCTTTATGAAACATGCACGTTGTGTTATTTTTGTTGTTTGCATGTGAACATGGAGTCTGACTTCTCGCTGCCTCTGAGGGAAACATTACGTAACCCATCATTAGTCAGCGTGCACACTGCAGTCTGTTTTAATATAACTGTCACAGATACAGCAGGATTTACACAATATTAACAACATGCAAAGTGCCCCTCATTATTATTGAATAAATGAATGATTTTGTATTGGAGGACAATGTGCTGCACACAGTGGTACATGTCAAAAAGTACTGCAGTTTTTTCACATTTCATTTTATGCTACGTTTTACTCCACTACATTTATCCAACAGCTATTCACAGATTCAGATTATTAGCTCATACTAAATATTAAACAACTAATACATAAAGTAATTAAAGCCCCACCATTACCAGCTGTGATGATTATTGTGTTAACATACAGTATATGATTCTGAAAAGGGCTTTTAAACACAAGAAGTACTATTACTGTTCGTACTTTATGTATATGTTATTCATTGACACTGGGGACAATACTTTTTCAGAAGTAAAAGGAAAAAGATTTATGGTTTGTTCTAAGAAATGCTAACGAACAAAGAAGACGGTTTAGGAAAGGGCTGATCTGCACAATAAAAAAATGCATTGTACTAAGCTTAAAAAACACATGCATGCAATGATCAGTATATTTAAAATGTCATATAAATAAAGATATACGGTGTTGTTGTTTTTCAATTCTTGGTTATTATCTACTCTGACCTCAATCTGACATTGTCTACAATTGTATATGTCGAACACCATTTAGAAATCTTCTGACCCCCTACTGTATGTCCCGAATGCCAATAGTTTTGTATACTTTCACTTAAGATTTTTTATGTAGGGAACTGTAACAGAGTATTTTTATAATTTGGCATTGCTGCTTTTAGTTAAGTAAGAAGTCTGATTACTTCTTCCACCTCTGCTGCACACTGAACATCAGTCAGTACTTTAAAGGTCCCCTATTATACTGTTTTTCATCAATATATTATAGGTCCCAGATATATACAGAACCTGTCTCTGATTGGCTGAAACACCAAACAGATCATTGCAACACCCCATAATCCCCTCTGTTTCAGCCCTGTTTCAAAAGTGATGATTCTCTGTCTGTTACTTTAGATGAAAATAAGGAGCCCCTCCCCACGCCCCTCTGAGAGAGATTTGGTTAAAAAGAACACAATGGTGCTCTAGGAACAAAGTGGCCAAAATCTGATCAGCTCATTTTCAGACAGGTTTTTATATAAATGGATCAGGACAAAAAGTGAGTCTCTTTACACAGAGGGGACACATGTTGATGTATAAAAGACATGAACAAGTGGATTTTGCATAATAAGTGTTTTTTTGTACCTTTTTTGCGTGCCGTGTCGTCGGGGTCCAGGTTCCGGCTGACGGTCACCACCTTGATGAGCAGCCGGTTCGTCCCGTGTCGGATCATGTTGACGACCTGTCTGTGGCCCACCTTCACCACGTTCTCCTGGTTCACCTGCAACACAACACAGCAGCCATTAGTGTCGGGAAAATACTCAAAGACATCCAGAAATATTCACATTTCCAACAAGAATCTGTATGTTATGTAAATACATTATTTTATTTTATTTTAATACCGTAATCTAGCCGCTACCACACCTCATTCTGCATTGTTACACTTTTTATAGTGTATTTTATTGCGATTTATGTATACATTTTATAATACACTTACTTAATTTCCCTGAATGTTTACTCCTGTAAATGTTTTTATTTCTATTTTTTGTAGATACTATGTGAATGCCTTTTTATCTAACAGTGTGTCTGTTGGTTTCTACGTCTCTTTCTCTTTCTACACTTTGCTATAACACTGTAAATGTCCCTACTTAAGTACAATTGTACATTTCTTTGAATAGTCTCTACTTTGAGTATTTGCATTTATTGCTATTTTATACCACTACTCCACATCAGGTCAACATTTTACTTTTTACTCCCCTACAAAACAGTAAAATGACCCAATAAATGACAAAAAGTCAGTCATTGTTTGCCCACAACAGTAAAATGCTACTTTATGAAACAATATATACAAACAAAATGCCATATATAATAATATATCACACATGGAGGCCATTCTTCTGCAGTATGACTACTTATACTTGCAATGGAGTATTTTAACATCAATATATTGGTACTTTTACTCAAGTAAAGCATCCAAATACTTCTTCCATTACTGATGTTAATGAACTGTCTTTGGGCTAAAGCAACAATCAAGTGGAAAGCAGCAAGAAACAAACAGCAAACAGACGCTGAAGGATTTCCATCTCTCTGTTACTGTAAACCTGCGGTGGCTTCATGCTAAGATCGAAGCTATTTCCAGGTCACGCTCATCAAAGTGACTGACAGCCGATGTCTACCAACCACAGGGAAGAAGGAGGGATGCATGGTGCTTTAATCTGAAGAAAAGTCTAGATAAACTAATAATATCCATGTTTTGAACACGTTGTACTAACTGTAACTGAGACTGTGGTGAGCTGCCGTCCCACACTGCGCTCTTATTTTGTCAGATCGGACCTCTTCAGGTGTCTGTGGGCGTGTACCCTGTTTGATTGACAGCTCACCCACTCTCATGTTACCTTTAATACACCTGGTTAATTAGTGGTGCTGTGAACTATCAAGGTGGATGTACCGAATGTAATTATATCAACAATCCAATGTTATCCATGCAAAGTAAAAAAAACATCGGTACATACAGTATCATTATCTTTAAGATATGCTTTTATTTTGACATTTCTATGCACATCAATGGATATGCTCCTTCCTAAAGAGCCCAGTATCGTACAGCTTTTTAAATGTGATTTTAAAAGCGCAAGCCAATAGAAGAGTAGTGTTCCAGAGTGATGCTTGGACTGCACTTTAGTAGGATTGTAATGCAAAGATTTTTCCTCCCTGAAGGTAAAAGTTGTGAATTTGCTTTTGATTCATCCTCGTAGCAGTAAGCAGACTTCAGGGAGAAGGCTGAAATATTTAAACTGACCACAGATATGTAAATGTGGAGGTGTTGTAGTGTTTCTTCCTGTTCTCCTGCCAATCTTCACAAGTGCAATATTCATGTTGCTGCGCTGCTTTCAGTCTTCAAAGAAAATCAGGACACATTGTGTGAGGCCAAAAACAAACTGTGCTGCAGGAATTCTGATTAAAGGAAACAGTGGACTATACATACAGATTAGAGTGGTGCAGGGATGACGGATTTTTACAAACCGTACAGCACGGTCACATGACTTCACGTCACCACCGCTAAGCTAAAGGCGGCTAATGTTGAGCTATAAAGGAACTACAGCATGGTCACATGACTTCACGTCACCACCGCTAAGCTAAAGGTGGCTAATGTTGGGCTATAAAGGAACTACAGCACGGTCACATGACTTCACGTCACCACCGCTAAGCTAAAGGCGGCTAATATTGGGCTATAATATAACTACAGCACGGTCACATGACTTCACGTCATTACCGCTAAGCTAAAGGAGGCTAATGTTGGGCTATAAAGGAACTACAGCATGGTCACATGACTTCACGTCACCACCGCTAAGCTAAAGGTGGCTAACGTTGGGCTATAAAGGAACTACAGCATGGTCACATGACTTCACGTCACCACCGCTAAGCTAAAGGAGGCTAATGTTGGGCTATAAAGGAACTACAGCACGGTCACATGACTTCACGTCACCACCGCTAAGCTAAAGGTGGCTAATGTTGGGCGTGATGCCGTTTAGTCGTCTTATTAAGAAACTTTTTATCAACCGCAATTTTTCATTTTACCAGTGGGGTATTTACTGACATATTTTATGGAACAGGATAAAAATCTCTTCAGCTAGTGTTAACCAAATGCCTTATTTCAGGATTAACAACAACACATACAGAAAACCATTGACTTCCAGAGTTCAGACCAGGGGGACAGGAAGTGCTAAAATATTGACTCATTTCAGGGATTTAGGACTCATTCCTGCACCACTCTATGAACGTCTGGTACCCAAAATGATCAGGTTTTTGGCCGTGCAAATAAACACACACACACTTCATCTTTTTCTCCTGCATGCCCACATGGCAGGTTTTTAATCTCATTACGACCGGTCTAATTTAATATGACCGCTACTCTCCTCTCTCCCAGACAAATAGTGGAGGAGGGATAAAAGAGAGGCCGGCCTATCGAGCAAAATGAAAGAGAGAGAGAGGAAGAGAGGAGGATGAGGAAGACGAGGAAGGGATGAAGACAGAGAGAGAGAAAGAGAAAAAGGTTTAATTTGAACAAACACTGCTCACATTTTGGTAATTAAAGGGAAATGCTCCGACAGCTGTTTGAGTGTGACCTCATGTTCCCTTCATCTCACACACACACACACACACACACACACACACACACACACACACACACACACACACACACACACACACACACACACACACACACACACACACACACACACACACACACACACACACACACACACTATAGAAGTAGCTTTATGTAACCTTCACGGTCTTTTCACCCTTTTATGTAACTACTCTTGAAGGATGGCTACACAAACACTGACACTCAAGTGAACTCATGAATGTTTCCTTCTGCAGAAATTATATTACAAAGGCTCTATTCTGCTTTTTGTGGGGTTTTGTCTTTCCTGTAGTGTGTTATATATGTTTGTGTGCATGTAAATGGTCTGCAAAGGCTAAAATCAATCAATAAAATGTGCTACAGGCCTATATTTTAACAATGGCAACCATTTAGTAACACTCTCTATGACATCCAAGTCTTACAGTACAATGTGTTATTAAATACACAGCTTGTCATCACAAAGACATTACAGTTCACACTTTTTTGCTTTTACATATTTTTCCTGGATGTTTATGCTGCATTTAAGAGGCTTTCAAATGTGTGTTTAGCCAGTAATAATGTGGAATAAAGATTTTAAAAAATAAGACGTAAATTATTCCTATTAAGTTTAACTGTATGTCAGTAACAGAGACAAATAAATGCACTAGAGGTCAGTTACATGCAGACGAATAGAGGTATTGATTATCTTTCACAGTTATTTATGCTGGTGTGATTTATGTGACACACAAGTTACATGTGTGTGTTTGTGTGTGGTTTATGAATGAATGCATGATGAGGCCTGACGGCCATAAACGGCCACAACGGTCCAATAACAACAATAAAAAACAGCTTTGAACAAGCAGCTTTATGGCTGAACATTTACAGTTTAGTCAATAATACACACACACACACACACACACACACACACACACACACACACACACACACACACACACACACACACACACACAACACACACACACACACACACACACACACACACACACACACACACACACACACACACACCACACACACACACACACACACACACACACACACACACACACACACACACACACACACACACACACACACACACACACAATAGGCTCCAGTACACTATGTAAGAGCCAGCTTTCTGAAAGCTATAAAACCGTTTTCAGTGTAATTTAGGTGATGACATGTTTTTTTAATATTTGTTTTTATTATTATTTCATATATATTTTAAATTGTATTTAATTTTCTTATTCTTTTTGTATTTATTATTGTTTATATTATTATTATTATTATTATTATTGAATATATATATTTTAAATTGTGTGACATTTTTTATTTTCTTATTAGTTTTAATGTATTATTTCATTTGCTTCTTTTTCTTTTTAAATTAACATTTTAATTTGTATTTTATATGTAATACTTTTTTTTTAATTATATTTGTATTTAATATATTTATTTTAGTATTTATATTAAGAAAATGTTTTATTATTATTTAAATTATAATTACATATTTCATGTATTATTTCTCATCTGTGGTTGTTTTTTTTAAGTGTCTTTCAATGTGGTAAATTCATAAAACAAAGGCCGCCCTTCAGTCAGAAGCCATTACCGTTATAATAACCATTACAATAGTTCCACAGCATTAAGCATCATCCGGCACATTTAGCCAACACGCCCTGAATCCATCTCATCATTAATCCAATCTACTCCGATTGACATCCCCACTCTCTGCTGTAATCTGATTAACCAATTATAATCTGATCACACGCTGCTAATCCAGCTGTCGGAGCAGGGAGGGGTCAGCTCTCAGTAATAGAAATACAGACATAGAGAGAAATAATGAATAATGTCCATCCCTGTTCCTTAAAGGGGACCTATCGTGCAAAATGCACTTTTTGATGTCTTTTATGCATAAATATGTGTCCCCGGTGTGTCAGGGAACTCACGCAGCGTCAGAAAATAAAACCCTTTCTCTTTTCCTCCGTACCCAAATCTTTTAAAAACGGGGGTACAACGAGCGGATACATATTTGCTGCCGATATGACGCAATTTCGGATGGTGGACCCACAGAGAGTTGCTATCAGAAACAATGCCTGACGTGTTTTGGACGTAATCTCGTCTTTGTTAACATTAGCAAGCCTCGCTAACACTCAGAG